TGAGTTTTAAGTCTTCCGCATTGTATTCTGTCTATTATGGTTAAAATGTTGGGATTTGGATTGGTTGGTTCGCTCACATAGGAGGGTAAGTGTGGGTGCCACTCGCGGCTCGATTTGGGTCGTGACAATTTTATAACTGAACAAGATAGAAACGAATAAAACAATAAAAGACCAAAACATATGCAACTTTTTAAAGTTATTCACATAATTCATTTAAATATTTTAATTAAAATTTGTACGTATTAAATATTTTAAATATTCAAAACATGTGTGCATTAAACACAAAATGTTAATTTGTCTAAATAAATGTATCTCACCGCCAGTTGAAGAACAGGGAGATTGAATTGAAGGGTTATTGTGAGTTTGGGTGTTGATGATTTTTTGTTTATTGGATGAGAAAAATGTTTGATGTAAGACCATGTTTGATATCTACTTCAAAAAAAATAAAAAAAATGAAAAGATAATCCATTAATCACAATAAAAGTGTCATTTTCTTCCCCTTGCCAGTGAAAGTTGGAATCCACTAGTCCATAGCACCAAAATGGTATTCACGTCCATCTCTATTTTACTCTCTATTTTCTATATTTGGAGAATAAAATAAAGAATAAGTTGTACAATCAGTCTCTATTTAACTCTCAATTCTCCAATTATAGAGAGGTGAATATAATAATCCTTTCTATTTTACTTTTTAATTATTAGAATATTATTTTACATTATATTTACTAATTTAATTTTTCTCATTTGTAATTATTTTCTAATGCAATATAACATTTAACAAGTTACTACTTCCGTCAAATTAATACTACTTTCGCCAAATTAATCATTTTTATTATATTTTTTTAAAAAAATTGTCACTTAGAATGTGTAACTTAAAGTTATTTTAATATTAATTATATTATAAAAGATTATTAATTAAGTCTCTAATATTTGTAATTATTTTCTACGTAATATAACATCTAAAATATATTATTGATTTTTAATTTTTTTTGGTCATTTTACATATTTAATTTAGATTATAATTATTTTTCATTATTAAGTATGCACAAAATTTACATGATAATTCAAACAATCTACTTTTTATGTTATAGTGATAAATTATTAATCAACACTTTTTAAAATATCATGAAAATATTTGATTCAATAGTTCAAAATGGAATATGAAAAGTAAATTAGTACACGAAATAGTTGATTACAAGATGAAATTGTTAATTTAAATATTTTTTAGCTATACATAAAAAATAAGAACAAAAATGCTAATTTTAAACTCCGTAATACATTAATAAAACATTCATGAGAGTAATGTAATAGTCTTGAAAGTTGAGTATTTATGTAAGATTTAAAATAATTTTTTTGATAATAAAATATTTATAATACAATTATATTTCATCAATGATTTCATATTTATTTGAATGTTCGTTAATAAGTATGTATATATATATATAATATTTATCGCAATTTATGTAATTTAGAATAAAATATAATTTTTTATTAATTAAAGAATTTAAAAAATAATAATTTGTATTACATAAAAATTATAGAGTGATTATATTTAAAAAGAAGAAATGGTTTATATTATGAAATAGAAAAATAAGAATGAAATAAAAATAGTAATATAATGTTGAGAAGAGAGAAAAAAGATTATTTTTGTAGAGAATAAAATAGAGAATTGAATTGAAGTTGATTTTCTGAAAAAATAGATAACTCTACATTTAAGAGTGAAATCGAGCATAGGATTAGAGATGCCCTTAGAAGAGATTTTGTTTTTTGGAAGAGTGATTTTGGAATGACATATGTGAATTTTACTTAATTCTTTCTAGTGGAGCCTCTTCTTATGGGTAAATGTGTAAAGGAAATTTGAGAGAATGAATAAAATATCGAATTATTTTAAATGGGGTTGGGTTAATGGGTTAAAATAGAAAATAGGTTTTTTAAAAAAAGATTCAGGTTAATTTGGGGAATTTTGTCTAATGAGGCATAAATTTGATAAAATTAATAAAGAAAATGATAAATTTAACTTCACTTTAACAGTGAAAGTAAAATCAAACAATAAAGCAAAATTGTGGAATATTTTTAATCCCTTTTCCAATTATTATTACTCATTTATTTTATAGTTGACTCATGACCTGAGTACTTAACTCGGCTCTTTAACAAGTTATATTCATATTAAATTGTTACCTTAAGGGACAATAATAAGAAACGAAAACACAGTTTGAAAATACGATATGAGACGAATAATTATTAGTTTTAAGTTATAAATGAAGGCTGTAAATTTATTAAAACTTCATTTTAAATCCCAAATAAAGTAGTAACGATTAGATCTAAAGTTTCCATAAGAACTTCACTAATATATTTATTTGAACTCACAAGTTAAACTACGTATTTAAAATGGGAGTCCGGAGCCTAAAGGATGAAAAATATTTAAAAAAATTTCAAAAAGACATGAAAATATTTTTAAACCAAAACGATAAAATCGCTAAGTAAGTAGAGATTTTGTCCGCCGGAGTTTTGGCAAACGCTACTATAAAGCAGCGATTTACATAATATATTTTTTTAAGGAGTGATTTCCCTAATTTTTGCAGCGATTTGTTTTAATTTTTTTTAAAAAAATGCAAATTATTTTCCAAAACTTCGGCGGTCAAAATCGCTACTTCCTCAGCTATTTTACCGTTTTAATTAAAAAATAATTTTATATACCATTTTAAAAATTTTGTTAATCCTTTTCACTCTTTAAGCTACGGACTCTCCAAAAATGGTGTTTATATAGGTTAGCTCTAAAGTTTTGGGTGGCAAAAAAAAATTACTAGGTTTATGATTCATCTATTCCTTATGGGTGGATCCGACTTAATAATATTTTCCAACAAAGTTAATCTCAATTAGTCTATTTTCTGAATCTAATAGAATAGAGTCGAGTTTAAATATAAATAAGTCAAGTCAATCTGGAGCCGGTGACTTGGCCTAGTAACTTTATACACTCCTGAGTCCCGATCCACCCATACAAAATTATTCCAAGTCGATCTTGACTTTTACCATTTTGCTATGTTGGAATTTAACTAATTCGAATTCACATTGTATAGAATTTTATTCGAACGAAGTCTCCTTCTCAAGAACTTTTTTATGCCCAAAACGTAAATTTGAAATCTTTTTTTAAGGGAGGAGCAGGCGCATCTACTACACCACACACGCGCACGCACATATATATATAGGGAAAAAGATCTGAAATATATCCGAACTTTGACCAAAATTATTGTTATGATACCAAATTTGGAAAAGACCTTTTATCTCTACACTATTTAATGGTGTAGTTTAAAGGTATATGCGCCCACGTGCACACGAAAAATATTGCATAATTATAAATAGTACTGTGTCCACATCTTTAAAATACACTATTAAATAGTTCGAAAATAAAAAATATTATATAGTTCAGGGGTTAAAAAGTCCTCCATAAAATTTGATATCGTAACAATAATTTCAGCCAAAATTGAAGTATTTTTCAGACTTTTTTTTACCAGTATAATAAGAACACGCTATATGTAATAGTCCCTTAGCTAGGAATATTCTTGGTTGCTGCAGTTGTGGATTTTTTTTTTTTGCATAAATAGTGATGAGCCCACCATGATAATCAAACAAATCACTATATATATCTGCAACCTGAAAGTTATTACATTTAATTTTCCACCATACACTTGACATTGATTTAAAAAAATGGACAGGCGGCTGAATGAAGCAGTTTTCAGGGGAGATGTTGAAACCATTAAAAAACTCATTGAAGAAGATTCCAACATAGTAGAACAAACCCTTGAGGGTTCATTACAACACACTATATTGCATCTAGCAGCTAGACTTGGTCATGTTGAATTGGTGAGTGAGATTGTGAAGTTGTTCCCTGAGATGGTGTCCGCGGAGAATCGGGATCAGGAGACCCATTTACTTGAAGCATGTAGAGAAGGGAGAGTTGAAATTGTGAGAATTTTGCTTGAGAATGATCCATTGGTTGCTTACAAGACAAATTTGTGGGATAAGAGTGTGTTTCATGTAGCATGTGAGAGAGGGAGGATTGAAGTGGTTAAACATTTCTTACATAATAATATGCACATGTTGTTGATGCTTGAAGTTGATATGTCTACTACTTCACTACATGTTGCAGCTTCATCAGGCGATACAGGTAAAATATTACATTTCACCATTTTAAATGTTCAAAATTCGTGTAATACTCTCTATAATGATGGTGTTCGATCAAGTTAGCTATTGATCATAAGTACCATATACTTGTTACCTTCTATCTGAGGGCGTAATTAACTTGACTTTTGAATTTATGAGTATTGGTACCAAACACACCCCTAGTGCTAGTAATGTTTATTTTGTCAAAACAATTGATTGCAGAAGTAGTGAAGGAATTGGTTAAAATTCGACCTGATTTTGCTTGGAAAAAGGATGAGTTTATGAATGGTTGCAGTCCTTTACATATAGCATGCAGTAAAGGTCACTTAGATATAACAAGAGAATTGTTAAAGCTTGATATGGATCTTTCTGGTTGACAAGATAATGAAGGCAGAACTCCACTTCATTGGGCAATCATCAAAGGAAGAGTGAATATTATAGCTGAAATACTCTCAGTGAGTCTTGAATCTGCTGAAATGACAACAAAACATGGTGAGACAATTCTTCATTTGGCTGTAAAGAACAATCACTTTGAAGTACTCAAGTTCTTGATGGAGTCTCTTGATGTTTCAAACCTCAAGAATTTTCAAGATGCTGATGGAAACACCATTCTACATTTGGTTACTGTTAGGAAACTCACCACTGAAATTAATGGTGGCAACGCACAAAGTAATGTGGATTTCTACATTATTTATGACATCAGCTTATATAGCTGCAATATGGTCAATATTGCCCCAAGGGAAGGGGGGATCATTGGGTGCTAAGTGAGGTTGTGATCATAGGGGGATGGCTGTGTTTTTAAGTTTGGGGATTTTGTTAGTGAGACAATGGAAAAGGAAGAGTGATTGGAGAAAAAAAAGAGAGGAACATCATAACAAGATAAAAGAGGAAACTCCAAAGAGCAATACAAGTACAGTTCAAGAAATGAAAGTGGTGAAGAAAGAAAGTCATGAAGATGGTAGCAACTCAGATGTTGATAGCTCAGATCAATGTTATCATTTGTATTAATTTGTATTGGGTAAAAATTAAAACAACTAGTTGTTTAGTTATAGAAGGAATCTTTTAGTTAGATTATTCAATTTCTTAGTTTTGGTAAGAGTCAAATACTTAAACAATAGCAGTTGTTTACTAATTTGTTTATGATTATTAAAATTTATGTGACAACATTTTTCATTCATATTTTCTGCTTTCATGTATCTCTCCAAAAAATCATAACACCAACCACATTTATAGATAAAACTGTATTGGTTTAAGGTAATCACAAATAGAGGAGAACACAACACTAAAGCCAAACTAATAGCATCTGTCATATTAGAAACTTAAAAGTATATATCAACAACATTCCCAGTGAAATCCCACCAAATATAGGGTCTGGAGAGGGTAGAATGTAAGCAGACCTAACCATTACTTCGTGGAGATAGAGATGCAGTATCCGAAACTAATACATTATGTTCTACTTTAATGACTTACAAGAATAGATCTATGAATGCAGGTAACTAAAACAAATGGTAACCATGATCTGAGCTATCCACGTCTGAGTTGGTACTACCTTCATGACTTTCTTTCTTCACCACTTTCATTTCTTGAACTGTACTTGTATTGCTCTTTGGACTTCCCTCTTTCATCTTCTTATGATCCTCTCTTTGTTTTCTCCATTCACTCTTCCTTTTCCATTGTCTCACTAACAAAATCCCCAAACTTAGAAACACAGCCATAGTGCACCCTCCTCCTACGATCACAACTTCAACTAGCACCCAATGATCCCCTTTTCCTTGAGGCAATATTGACCATATTGCAGCTATATAAGCTGATGCCATAAATAATGTAGAAATCCACATTACTTTGTGTGTTGCCACCATTAATTTCATCATTGTTCTTCTCTTGAATGGGATTACACTTACAAGGACATTAACAATTCCAAGGGAAAGGAAAAGTGCCACAATGTTACATATCAAAAACACCTTAAATGCGGTTGTTTTACCCAATAATGCTTTCCCATCTCTTTCACTAAATCCACCAGGAGGATTAACACCAGCAGCAAATGTCACAGTTGCTATTAGTACTGCAACAATTGTTATTGTTTTTCTTGCATTCCTTAGACCTTCACTTTGGAGATTGATTTTTTTTGTCCTACTATTGTTGTTGTGCTTCCTTTGATGATTATAATACGAATGTTGAGATGATGAGGACGAAGAGTGAAAACTAGTAGTTTTTCTTTGCCATGACGATCCCAAAATTGGTGATGCAATTACCTGTTGGATGTCTTGAAAATTTGGTGGTAATTGGTCACATCTTTTTGCACCGGCTTCTAGTAATGCTGGAATGATTGCAAGAGCACCAGAGTTACTTGCATCTGCTTCAACTACATCTAATGTTGTATATCCTTTTTGATTCAAAGCATTTACTTCAACACCAAGCTTAAGTAGATAAATAATCATCTGAAAACAGAACAAGTCATCATTTATATATAATTAGTTTTGAGCTTTAGTGGTGCAACTCTATTTTGCCATCGACTTTTTAAGAAAAGACTCATCTATGTTTAAGTTTTTGAATTTTCACCACAAATTCAGACATTACATATAACCACAAAAAACATAACAAACTGTGCGTTCAATCAAACACCTTCACATAAAATGAAACGGCTAGAGCAAAAGAAAACTTACAGTGGTGAGTTTTCTAACAGTAGCCAAATGTAGAATGGTGTTTCCATCAGCATCTTGAAAATTCTTGAGATTTGAAACATCAAGAGACTCCATCAAGAACTTGAGTACTTCAAAGTGATTGTTCTTTACAGCCAAATGAAGAATTGTCTCACCATGTTTTGTTGTCATTTCAGCAGATTCAAGACTCACTGAGAGTATCTCAGCTATAATATTCACTCTTCCTTTGATGACTGCCCAATGAAGTGGAGTTCTGCATTCATTATCTTGTAAACCAGAAAGATCCATATCTAGCTTTAACAATTCTCTTGTGATATCTAAGTGACCTTTACTGCATGCTATGTGTAAAGGACTGCAACCATTCATAAACTCATCCTTTTTCCAAGCAAAATCAGGTCGAACTTTAATCAATTCCTTCACTACTTCTGCAATCAATTGTTTTGACAAAATAAACATCACTAGCACTAGGGGTGTGTTTGGTACCAATGAAAACGTCCAAATACTTTTTACCGTCATAACGAGATAAAAAAAAACATATCATAAAAATCAGTTCCAAGGAAAACTTCATTATTATCATAAAATGTTACTATATAGGATGACCTTATTTGATATTATTCTTTATATTTCTTTCAGTTGTCGTGTTTCCCTTTCGTAAGTCATTTAAAAAAATATTTTACAAATTATCTCAATAAATATTAATAAATATGCACTTTATGTATGCCTTTAGTTATGTAGTTAAAGTTATTTACTTTTAAGTTTTTAAAGAATATTAATTAATATTCAGTGAGGAATGAAAAAAAATATATTTTAGTAATCATGATACTTTGAAAAAGACAGGGAGTTTTAGATATTTTCAAAATCGAAAAAAGGACAAATATATTTTTAAACTATTATAAATAATACGTAGACGTTCTCTGTCATATTTTTTGAAATATTAATGCCTCTAAATTCTAAAAACTAGAGGGTATATACTTTTTATACTAAGGGCAAACACGTGTTATAATTTTATCTACTAACCCGATATTTATTAAATATTAAATAGACAAATAAAATTATGTCATGTGTCCCTATTTAATCTTCCACTAGAATGAAAATGAAAAAAACACCAATATCCTAAAAATATAATAAAATATATCTACATACCATTTACATAATTCAAGAATATATTTTTTTTCCCCTTTTTAAAACCATATTATCCTCAAAGGCTCAAACAATTGTTTTAAAAGGCACGGTCACAAAACAAGGCATAAGCATCGTGGCGCTTAATACAGCTTCGTGGTCGTGGATCATAAATTTATAATATTTATAAATCAATATAACAAAAAATAATATAAAACTAAATAGAAATTTTAATAAAGTACGTAATAGGTAAAAATATGTGTATAGAACTATTTCATTTAAAAATGTATTCAGGTGGAAAAAAAAATTATCTCAAAAAAGTAATCAGATTTGTTTTTCTTTTAAAGAAAAATAATTGACTAGAGACTTGTAATCGAAAGATCTTATAATAAAGACATCACTATCAGAACAAGTAAAATTTACGTTTAGAAACAAAATATATTTGAATATTTAAGTTTTCTTTTAACTTCTCTAAATTTTATAAAAAATTGAATTTTGAGTTTTTTTAGCATTAATTTAAGGACTTGTTTCACAATTTTCATTTTACTTAGGAAAAGTTTTCTGAATATACAATTCGTTCAAAATCTAAATCTAGGTCCAGACTAATAAAATTTACAGTGCTATTTACTGCGCTTGTTCTTAATAAAATCAAATAAGGAGTAACTGCACAAATTTAACACAAAAAAAAATCCATAGATAAATAACTTGATCAACAATTGATAATTTATTAAATTTACGAAGATTCACACGTAGAAAATGATCAGAAGTGCACAATTCTATTAATCATTGAAGGTTATACGTGTCACTGAATATTATCAAAAGAAATCTAATTAAAATTTATCAATATTTTAATAGAATAAAAACACAAATTTCCCAAATTAAATTAAATAAGGATAGCGACAGGACACTCTTTTCTTAATGAGGACTTTGCCCCAGACGTAGACTTTGGCCGTCTGAACATTTGAAAATACAGACCATATTTGATTTGATTTTTATATTAAAAATAATTTTTATTTACTTATTATAATTAATAAGTTAAAATAGACTTATTGTTTTTCTTTCTTTCTTATCATTAAGTAACTATTTAGATTTAAAAAAATTAATTAATATGAATAATTCAATAAAATAGGTTAAGGAAAATAATGTTATATCAATAAAAATCAAGTAAAATGAAATAAAAAAGATACAAAACTAAATATTTATCGAAATTATATTACAATTTAGATAATTTTAAATTATTTGAATAGTTACGTACTATTTTTTTCACTATTTTTAGTGACACCGTAAAAGAACAAGAAAATAATTTTAAGTGGATAAATATACATGTCTTTACTCTTAAAGTTCTATATTAAATATAATAATAGTAATAACTTTTAAGAATATGTATATATTATCTCGTCATCCCTAGAATGACCTTAATCGCAATAATAATTGGAAATTTATTTTTTGTCCACGGCAGTCAACGTCATATATAAAGTTAGGAATAACGAAGTAATAAGAATTAAATATGTTCAAAAAAATCAATTGTTTACGTGTTCTTTTGGCATATTGAAAATTATGTTCTCATTTTTTATCAGTATTTTTCTACTTTGATGAAAATAATATCTACTTTCTTTAATATATCAACCACATTTGTCTATTCTATGAAATTTGCTTCTACCGACACCATTAATTAGGAGTCCAGTTCCCTTTTAACTAATCACGACCACATACTCAAATCCTACACTACCATATTAAAGATGGTAATCAATTTTTCCTTTTTTAACAATTACTTTTTATAGCTGTAAAAATATTAAGTTACTAATGTTATTATATTCAAATTCACTAAAATCTTGAATAACATTTGTATATAATTGTAGATTATATATTTCATATATATTACTGTTATTAAATATAATATAACGATAATTATATTATTTATCATAAAATAATTGCTATAGATTATTTTATTTGTTGTAATGACAAAAAAACTGATTTTGGTTCGAGGACAACTTTTATCTATGCTTTTTATTATACCTAAATTAGTAAGTTTAAAAGCAAAGGCCATCCCTTATGAGATGAACTCTTTTTACACTTAGAGTCTAATTTGATAACTTTGCAAAAAATGTACATACTCTTTAACAACTTTTTTAACCAAAACAAGGTCCCCTTTTTCCTTCTATTTCAAGACTTATTGTACAATTTATATATTAGTTGTGTGAATATCAATATTAAACAACGCAAGTAATATTTTACCTGTATGGCCTGATGAAGCAGCAGCATGTAGTGAAGTAGTGGACATATCAACTTCAAGCATCAACAACATGTGCATATTATTATGTAAGAAATGTTTAACCACTTCAACCCTCCCTCTCTCACATGCTACATAAAGCACACTCTTATCCCAC